AGCTATATATATATATATATATATAATTTTCATTTTGAAGTTGTATATACTATTTTACACACTGATATATAGAAAGAGTGAGACAGAGAGAGAAATGTGTTTATCTTTTCTGGAATAAAAAATAAATGTAGAATGAAGTGAAGAAATGCAACAGTGAAAATGATATTTATTAATAATTAAAATTGCAATAAATAAATGCATGTATTTAACTTTCATCATAATAGCAAATTTTATTGAATGTCAAATTTTAAATAATGATATTATGCTTTGTCTTGTCATAAATATCTATTAATTCATTAGAGTGACGATTAATCTCGTGTATAGTATTATAACTGTGGTTGATTTAGTGAATTTTCATACATTATTAACAATATCTTGCTATGTAAATGTGATTACCTATTACAATATTAAAATTCTAGACATTTACTTAATTGCAATATATAAAATCTTTATTGAAATGAGATGGAGAATACATACTTTGAAGCTTACCGTTGGATGGTATACTAAGTGACTATCTAGTAGTGATGAGGGGGAGATGGATACTTATATGGTTTCTTAGGTGGTGGAGGAGGAGAAGTGTACTTGTATGGAGGTTTGTAAGGTTTCTTAGGTGGTGGTGGTGGTGAAGAATAATGGTAAGGATGCTTGGGAGGTGAGTACACTGGTGGTGGAGGAGAGTGGTAATAGTAAGGTTTCTTAGAGGGTGGGGGTGGTGGAGAGTGGTAGTAATAGGGCTTCTTTTGTGGCGGTGGAGGATATGAATAACCATCTTTGTCTGCTGAGGTTTGAGATGGCAAGCTCAGAGAGAGTAAAGCCAATACAAGTGCGAGAGTACTAAGAGAGGCCATTTGAGACCACATTTTCTCCCAACTTCAAAAAGGATTTGGTTATGCTATACAAGGTAGAGTCCCTTTATATAATTTTTTTAAACCATATTAACACCACCCACTAATTATTAGGATATATTTCGTTGCACGTTTGAAATTTGTGTCTACAGTTAATAAGTTTCAAATGCAATGTTTACATGCTTAGAAAAAATAACTCATTTTATTGAGCGTAAATTACCCACAAATGTTAGTTGAATAAAAAACAAAAAGAATCATTATAAGAAATTTTACAAATAACGATATACAAAAATATTCATTATAAATATAATGTATGTAAATATAAATCTATTTAATATATAGTTTTATATAATTTTAATGTTAATTTTAAATAAGACTCAATATGTGTGTTACTATAACATATATAAATATTTTTTTTAATAATATATTAATATATAGTTTATTTATAGTATGTAAAAGTATTTTTTTTGATAATTATTATATTATTGTAGTATATGTATTACTATGTACAATCACTTTTTATTATTATTTTTTTTTATGTTGGTTTAAAAGTCAAGTTGTACTCAACTCGATCACCATTGTGACTTTAATCCAAAAAAACAATTAATCTTTTTGGAAGGTGTACATTGATTTGATCTATTTAAATTTACCTTGTTGAAAATTCTAAAATTTATGAATACTTTGAATTATGTTGGATAAATTTTTCTTAAAGAATTATAAAAGAAAATAAAATAAAAAGAAAGATAAAGCATATTCATATAAGTTAAAATTAGTGTGAATTGAAATCATTTATAAAAAATTAATATAAAATATTTCAATATAAACTAATTTTAATTTTTATAAAAAAATATTTTATTTTTTCCTTGTTATTTTCTTTAATTTCTTAAAAGTGTGTATAAAGAAATTTATGTAAACATATTATTTATCCAGAAATTATGAAGTAATTTAATCATTTTATATACAGAAAGAGATCGAGGGAAATGATACATGTGATAATCAATATATAGACAAAACTTGTGTGTATGTTTAAAGTTGAAATTTCTGACTGATAACCTGTTCATTAAATGTCGCCACGATTTATTGACAAAATTTTATAATTTTGGTTGAAAAACAATTCTTTGTTTTTTTTTCTTTTCTTTTTATGACTAAGTTATTAGTATAAAATATTTATCAATTTTATCCATGATTATTTTTCAAAAAATTTGACTAATTATTTTTAATGAGATTTTTCTTCTAATATATATATAGATCTCAAACTCAAGAATTTGTTTAAGAAGATTGAGTTCTAAATCACCCATTTTTTGTACGTTTATTTATGTTAGTATATATTCTTTTCCTTGTAAAAGAAAAGGCAGATATAATATAAAATAAGTATAAACACTGATGTATAGGAAAAATTAGATCGATTATATTTCGTATTTGGACCAATGTAGATTGTAGAGCTGGAGAAAAGTAGCCAGTTAGCTGGTAATGTTGACATTAACCTTATCTTCTTTGTAGTTAAGGACACCAAACTTATTTAACTATTTTAGTTGTGTACTTTGTGAGCAATTTTGTTTATGACTCGAATATTCGAACACAAAGTCTTGGATAATAAATAATTTTAATTTGTGTCACACTTATGCCTCTTTATTCACGTGCAATTCATAGCAAACTTTGAAAAATGCGTATATCTGTTGCCTAACTCTGGAATTTATCACTGTATTTGTTAAATGCTTCCAAGTTCTAACTGCTCAACACAGAGAGCACAGACCATTGTAGTCTTAATTAGAAGTGAATTGGAGTCTGGATCAATCCATTAATCTAGTTAATCTGAACTATATCAATGGAAAAAAAAAAATCTAGAATAATTCATATATTTACATATTGGTTCAAATTAAAAAAATTATAAGTTCAGTCGGTTTACTTCAAATATCAGGTTTTGATTCTTAAAAATTAAACCGAACCAATTCACTAGATTAAAAAAATATGCTATTATTATTTTTTATATATATATTTTTGTTATTATGTTTGGGCTGTAAGATTTTGGATTTTGGTGACAGATAACTCAGTCTAGCTAGTTCATCTTAGAATCTCTTATTTTGTTGTGTGCTAGTGTGTCTCACTTCGCCTCTCTAATTCATGATTAGGGTTACTCATGGTTTTAAATTACGGACCGCAACACGTGTTGCGGCCGCAATATTGTTGTTGCGGCCTTGTCCGCAACGGCATCGGACCGCAATTACGATGATACTGGAAATCACACATTTTTTCGTAACGTAACAGTGTTGCGTCCGCAACACATCTGCAATGTACCGCAATACATCCGCAATACGATAAATTGATAATATAATTTTAAAATAAATTAAATTATTCATTAAAATAATAAAATATTTTAAAAAAAGGAATTAAAATGTATAAATCCTTAAAAATAAAATATATATTGATAATTATAAATTTTTTATATTTAATGAAAATAATTAATAATCTCACACCGCAACAGCTGTAATCCGCATCGCAATACCCGCAATACCCGCAACCGCAGTAATTACAACCGCGACCGCAACCGCGACCGCAACCGCAATTTAAAACCATGGGGTTACTAGATTAGGATAAGTCACAAATGCATGTGCATTTATTAGCCTATGTTCTTCTTCATTGATGGTGTGTCCCCCCTTACTAGAAGTCACAGAAATGCAACTCCTTCCTCGAATTCGACGACATTCTTTCTCCAGAAATGCAATGATTAAAGCAATATCAAGTTAATAATGTGGTTGAATATAAATTAGAAGTGTTTTTTTTTAAATTTTTTTTATTATTAGAAGTAAAGATTAAATTTGAGGACAAAAACTAAAAAATAAAAAATAAATTTGTATTTAAATAAGCTCAATGTGTGATTCTCTCTTTGTTGTTTTCATTACCTTCCTTATTTATTTGTTTATTTTTCTGAACAATTCACCTAAGTCGGCATTATCTTTTTTTTTTTTAAACCTCTCTTTTCTTTAGTTTATATATTATTTTGAATAATTTCTAACTTGGATTTGGTGATTTTGAATGGTTTCACAGCAGATGTGTCGATATTACAATTATCGAATCTTGATCGTTTTTGAATGATTTCACTATATACTAAAAACATTGCAAACATAAAATTAATATCGGTTGAACGCTTAATGATTTCAAGCGTGATTGATTCGAAGAGATTTAGAAATGGATGACTTTCTTTCCTCCTTTTTATTTTTTATTTTTTTTTATAGAAATTTCTCAGTAAATGTGAGTGAGGAGAAATCATATATAAAAAATTTATTTTTATTTGTGATGAACGTTGATAACCCAAAAATCAGCTGAACATTTTAAAAAGGGTTGTTCATATAAGGATCTAATTGACGAAGGATTCTGAATAATTAATTGAAGTGACATTGTATGAAATTTTTTGATGTGTAGTCGTTGAAAATATGAAAGTTGTTATAAATGCTATCAAAACCTAGTTCTCTCTCCTGGTTGATTCAAGACGAATCAAGTAAAAACTAATCGGTTTGTAATATCATAAACACACAAAAAAGGGAGAGATAAAAAAAAACTATACAATTGAGGATATGAATAAATTAATACTACCTATATACCTATATAAGGGAGATGCATATAATTTTTGGTAGTTCATTTAATAATTTTCATAATTTAACATGCTTGATTTAGAGCGATTTAATAACAAGTGACTTTTTAAGAAATTTTTTAGAAAAGTGTGAACGAGGATAAAACACAATGAAAAATCTTGTGTTAGTTTGTGTACATAATCAATGATCCTAAAAAGTGGTCAACTATCCCAGAAAAGGTGACTCATGAAGGCTTTTTATCGGTGAAGGTTTTTGATCAACATGAAGTTGAGTGGAGTGTAGCCTATGAGACATCAAATCTATGGAATTCTTAATAACAAACTATTAAAAAGTAGATGCATCTTGTTAGTATAAGTAATACTAATTAATTTTTTTAAGCATTTTCAATTGTACAGTTTCACATATGTACAACTTCTAGATTTTTCTCGTTTCGATGTGTAAGGAATTTTAGAATGTTTAATAATATATAATTTTAATAAGCAATTTCTATGTTTTTAAGTATAGTTTTTTTTTAAATAAGAAAGCAATCCATATTTGTTACTTTATTTTTTAGAAAACATATTTTAGAAACACTTTTTAATTTTAAACAAATTGACCCAATATAAATATATATTATTATTTGTTAACATTTAAAACATTTCATTTTATCTTCTATCGCAATCAAGATGATAACTTTTGAAAGAAAAAGAAATGGTTTTGTGTTGGTTAACTTGCCACGTTGCTCAAAAGAAGAGAAAAAAGAAATGGCCTCGTTGAATCTCTCTATATCGATTTAGCTACCTGCCTAAATATAGACATGCATTATAATAATATTAAATATAACTGTATACTTCAATTTTAATTAATATAAACTTGACAACTAATATGCATTTAATAATTTAATATGAAATAAAAATGAAAAATAATAATTATATTAATACTTAAAAATAAATTATAATAATAATAATTACATAAATAAGTTTATTAATTTCGTTTTTAATTTAGTTCCTTTAAAATATTAGTTGTAAAAAAATTATTAAAAATATATAGTTATTTATTTAAATTTAAAATATATTTAATATATTATATTAATATGCATATATATTTCTACTTATTTGAAATGCTTTTATAAAATAACTTTTTACAAATAATAAACACAATAAATGAAGTGCAACTATTTCTGGGTTCATTCTTAAATAGAGCCAGCTAAACATTAAACTATAAAGGATAGGTATTTAATGTATTTTGATATTAATAAGGAAAATAAAAAACAATGGTACTATTTGGCTTGTCAATTTTCACACTTATTGCCTTCTCATATAGGGCGAATGCTAGCATGGACAAGTTAATGAAGTGCTGCTCATATGTTGTCTAATGCGTTCGAAAAGAGGGCCATAATGAATTTGATGATCGAAAGAAAGATAATTGTAATTTCTGAACATCAGAAAAATTAATACAAGTATTAAGATTTAAAGATAATAAT